TAGATGAGAGGATATCTCCCGTCCCAACTTTTTTTTTATATGAATAAATATGACGTTATTCAATGCGGTAATTACAGAACATTATTGATGAATTCTGTTTAGATCAGCCGAAGTTAAGGAAATCAAGATATCTGAAATTATCGTTTCAAAATACATAAAGTAAAAGAAAAAAGTTTTCAGTTGTTTACTTAACATTGACGATTTTGTGACTAGTGAGCATAATGGCAGGACCTTTAGATATTTCCTAGAACATGCCCACTTGTACATCACACTGGGTCGACACTCTTGCTACCTGACAAGGGATCGCCATAAAATCATTTGACTTTTCACTAACGTCCATAATGACGAACTGCCAGTGGGTCAGATATTTTTGTATATTTTCAAATCGTTTGCGGAAGCACTAGAAATGTTGCTAAAAATCGGAAAAAAATCACACAGTCATTTGAACTAATGAGCTCTCGTTTCTATAAACTTGCCAATTGAAATTCGGACCAAATGTTTTTTGAGCCTGCCTAATGAACAGCGAGGAGTGAAGCGGGGACTATCAGGTTGCAAGGAAGGTCTGCTTGGCGATCGCTGCGTATTGCGCGATTCGAAGCAGTACCATCACAATTTGTCAGTTGCCTGGATCGACTATCGCAAGGCATTCGATAGCACGAGTCATGAACTCATTTTCCTACTATTGGATTGCCTTGCGGTAGAGGACCACATAGTGAGGGGTATCAAAAATATTGCACCATTTTGGAGAACGCGCTTCACCATAACATCTGGTGAGGGTAAGCTGACTTCGAGGTTGGTGCAGTATAGGAGAGGAGGCTTTCAGGGTGATACTCTGAGTCCTCTATTATTTTGCATCTCACTAATGCCGCTATCTGTTGCGCTGCGTTGTGTTGNGAGGCAGTACCATCGCAATTTGTCAGTTGCCTGGGTCGACTATCGCAAGGCATTCGATAGCACGAGTCATGAACTCATTTTCCTACTATTGGATTGCCTTGCGGTAGAGGACCACATAGTGAGGGGTATCAAAAATATTGCACCATTTTGGAGAACGCGCTTCACCATAACATCTGGTGAGGGTAAGCTGACTTCGAGGTTGGTGCAGTATAGGAGAGGAGGCTTTCAGGGTGATACTCTGAGTCCTCTATTATTTTGCATCTCACTAATGCCGCTATCTGTTGCGCTGCGTTGTGTTGGAGGGTACCAAGCCGGAAAACCCGGTGATAGGAGGCATCAGGTCAGTCATGTGTTTTACATGGATGACCTGAAGTTATTTGCCTCAGGAGAGCGGCAACCCAAGCTTCAGCTTGATACTGTCACAATGTATTCACGTGCGGTCGGCATGAGTTTCGGATTGGACAAGTGCGCCGTCTTCCATATGAAGAGGGGGCAAGGTTGGTGGCGAGGTGGATGATCTTCAACTTGTGGACGGAAGCGTCATACATCATCTTGGCGCCGAAGAGTCGTATCGATATCTTGACTTCAATCAGCGTTCCGTAGTGGAAACTGTGGAAGTCCGATATTCCTCGCGGAAAGAGACTCTCCGCGAGGAATATCGGCGGCGGCTCAGGAAAGTTTGGAAGTCCGAACTTTCCGGCAAGAATAAAGTCGCAGCAACGAACATGTTCGCTGTCCCGGTGCTTCTTTACTCCTTTGGTGTTCTCAAATGGAGTAGATTTGAGCTGGAGCAGCTGGACAGAGATACCCGCAAGCTGATGAACATTCATAGGAGTCTCCATCCACGTTCTTCGACTCTGCGGTTGTATTTTCCGCGAGAGTGTGGAGGACGAGGACTTCTCAGTTTGGAGGCTCTTCATGATCGTCTAGTCCTCGGTTTAGCTAGTGACGTCATGAATGGCTTGGATCCACACTTGGAGTTCGTGCATGATCATGAGCTCCATGGGGTTCAAGCCTTTCTATACAAGGCAGCGGATACGGCAGCGGCTTCCCTTGGTTTGGAATTTCGTCGCGGGCGGGATGGCCAGTTAGCTAGTGATTCATTAGCCATCATGGCCAAACCTCGGCGTAGAGCGACCATCAAGGCGGCGGAGCAGTCCACCTTGCTCCGCCAGCACGTTGATAGGTCCGTGCATGGTATATTCTCCCGCCATGTGGAAGAGCAGAGTCTTTCCGTCCAGCTGACATTCGCCTTCTTGAAGTCAGCTGGCTTGATGTCTGAAACTGAGGGTTTCATCTGCGCGTGTCAGGATGGCGTGATAAACCCTTTTGTCTATCGAAGTCGTGTTATGGGGGTGCACGTTCCGGATACTCTATGTCGGATTTGCAAGCAATCCCTGGAAACTCTGATGCATCTTTTGTCGGCTTGTCCGACTTATGCAATCACGAGTTATATCCACCGTCATAATGCGGCTTTGAGAGTGCTGTATTATCATTTGCGGCACTCTTATGGGATAGACAGAACGCCGGTGCTGCCTTACGCTCCAGGAGATATTGAGTCCATTGTCGTGAACGAGAGGTGTAAGATTTACTGGAACTTCTCGTTCGCGATTGTCAGGCCATTCGTTGCGACGAAACCTGACATCGTCCTCTTCGATTTTGATGACAAAATCATCTATGTCATTGAGTTCTCAGCTCCGGCTGAGAGCAACATCACAGTGAAAGAAGAGGAGAAGCGGCTCAAATACCAGTCACTCCTGTTTGAGCTACGTCAAATAAATCGGGGATTTAAAGTAAATTTGGTTGTCCTGATAATTGGCTCTCTTGGGAGAATGAAAGAGTCATTCATATTTGCGCTGAACACCATCCCTGCATGTAGGCGTCAAGCCTTCATTTTGGCTGGCCAAATACAGAAGGCGGTTATTCTCGGATGCCTCCGTCTACTTAGATAGCACGATTCTGGACTGCAGTAGAGCTCACCCTCTTTTTGGAGGGAGCGCTACTGTAGAGCGATTAGGAAAAGTTTGCATCGCTTAGCTTGCTGGGCGGTCTTCGAGGTGAAGTCGGAACCCTCGAGGATCGTTCAGCGATCTCATTTACGAGTGTAGAATAATAATAATAATAATGATAATAATAATAATAATGATAATAATAATAATAATGATAATAATAATAATAATAATAATAATGATAATAATAATAATAATAATAAAGCCCGGGTTTGGAATGAAAAGTTCCAGACTTGAATAATACCAATTTTTCAGTTTATTGTTCAGAAACGATTTGTAGTTATATAAAAGAAAAAAAACGGAAGGAGAGTGAGAATTTGATCGATGCCAAAAAAAGCTTATGAAAAATAGAAAATTAATATACTGATTTCTATTCTGAATTTATGGTTTTGATGAAAATGTGACGAATGGCCAAAATGAACAGATTGTTTTTGTAAATTTTATACGAACCAATAGTTCAATTAATCCAAAGTAATTTTGCGAATTTTCCTCGATATTTTGATAATAGTTTTTTTTACATTTTCACTTATATTTAGCTCAAGTTAGAAGGTTTTCTTCACTAAATTATGGTACTATGATTATGTTCTTAAATTGATCAACATATTTCATAATTGTATCCTTACACAGTGAAATTCACGAAAACGTAATAGGTATTAGGTGTATAACTTAATCTTTCCCGTTTTTTCATTGAGTACACTATCTTATTAAAAATTTAAATATTTAGGCGCCCGTTTACGATTTTGATGAGTGAACCTCGTAGGTTTAAATATGCTATATGCTAGGCCTGGAAGAGCTGTATATCTTCACAAGATAGTAGTACACTTGATCGCGACCGATACACAGTACATTCGGCACTGTGTTCTCTACGAGTTCCAACAAAGTGAAAAAGCCATTGAAGCTGGCAATTCGATTTATTCTATTCTCGGAAGTAATATTGTATCTTATGATACGTGTAAATATTGGTACAGACGCTTTAAAAATAGTGATTTCGATCTCAGTGACCAGGAACGTCCTGGACAGCCTTTGAAATTGGAAGATTCTTAATTACAAAAATTACTCGATAAAGACTCAACGCAAACCCAAAAAGAGCATGCAGCTCAGCTTGGAGTTACACAAACCGTAGTCTCTAAACGATTATACGCAATGGGAAAAATACAAATGGTAGAAAGATGGGTTCCACTCGAGCACGATATTTCGAGCATTGATCTAGTAGTCATATATTTTATAATGTAACATGTATTTTTAATAAAAAAATGGAAAAATTAAGTTATACACCCAATATTTGGATAATGTTGGTGATCAAAATACTTAAAAAATGTGAAAATGTTTGTCGGTAATTAGGTCCCATGATGGTGAAGTGTGTGTAGGAAACATAATTACTGTTTTTTTACGCGAGTGATTCGACCGCGATTTTTGTGTTGCAATGGGTATCAAAACAGAGGATCTAGTGACAGTTTTAATCCAAGAATTACCCAATAATTATGTTGCTCACTCCTCTCAGACATCATTGCCGACCTCCTGAAGGTCATAACCTGTTGATTTATGTACATATCATTTTTTTTTATCAATTTTTATCCCCACAATTAGGATACCTGTGAAATGATTTTTACGCTAGGAAATCCCTAGGGGAAACATGGGAAAGGGGGTGCGGATAGAGAATGAGGAGGCGGGGGAGGCGAAAAAGAGGGGTCAAAATTAGTACACCCGGGCCTTAAAAGTTGAAACTCCCCTCTTTATTGTATAGATTATTTCGGTGCATCTCCGCCATATGGCGACACCTTCGCATTCTCATTCGACATTTTTTCTGTGCGACGTTTTTTCCTAACGTCTCGATATCTACAATAGCATCATAGCTAATGAATTTGTGCTAATCATGGAAAGGGTCAGTATGATATATAAACGCCGGTCAATAGGACAAGCTCTCGGGTCTATATATGGCGACGATGGCGTACTTGAGGGATTGAGACGTGAGTTCACATCACAAAAGTCTGAGAGAAAAAATATATCTTGATGATCATAAAAGCAAAGAATTTCTGAATTTTTGTACCATATTTCAATTGCATATCAATGACTCATTCATTCTATTTTCCCCAGTACCGAGCAAACCGCTGAGGTTGACAGCTTATGGCATAAACTCATCATCAATTGAGCTTTCATGGTCGGAGCCAGAAAACAAGAATGACATAATACATGGGTATCGTGTATACTATATGCACTCCAATTTGACCGAGGTCCAAACATTGAAAAAAAATAATGAGACAATCGAGTTTGTGCTGAACGAATTGGGTAAGCTAATTAATAATGATCTCACTGAAAAATGCCGTGTGACGGACGGCGGAGCACGATATGAATAAGACATCTGAAAGGACAAAGTGGTTAGTTGTCGGATAGCTCAATTGAGACAGCAACCGATCCATTATTGGAAGGTCCGGGTTCGAATCCTAGTTTGGATTATTCATTTTTCAGTAAATTTTTCTTATAAATTAATATTGATAATTATGCTGGTTCCCCTTCTACCTACTCCAAAATCCTATCTAAGAATATCCCGTGACGTTACCGGCTATGCAACGCTATGTAAACTCCCGTCTTTGAGAGGAAGTTGTCCCTGAGTCATATAAAAAAAGAAAGGGCAGTCGCATTTGTACCCCCACATTTGTCCATATCCACACTTCTCCAGAGTCTGGTGACTAGTGAGATACACTTGTCCAAGATCTCGCTTGTCCAAAATAAGGACAGCTATTTACCGATGACGGCGTGGTGAGCACCGTAATAATATGGACGACCGATGGTTTACCCGTTCAAACTTATTGAAACCTATATATTGTAGCTGACATTAGTAGTTTCCTTTCGATTCATTCATTTCTGCATTGTTTTTTATTATTGTACTACATGTCCCGATGTTGTGGGTTTTTAAAGCAACTTGAAGACTTGTAAAGTAATTAAATAAAGCGCGAACGATAAACCATCGTATGGTCATGTTTCTTAGTGCAGACGATGCCCACCAGGCGTAAGTTGTTCCTATGCACACTTTTCCATGACACTTTTTATCAGTGAAATAGTGTCGGTACAGTAGGAATGACATAGCTTTTATCCATCCTTGACTTGAATTATTATCTGATCGGCAGATGGAAAGAGGGTAGCATTGGTTTTTTATCAGGAGTATAATAGAGGAAGGTAATGTCAAGTGTCCCCAAAAGTATTTTCTCTCCACGGCGCGAGGCGTCGCTTCAATAGCTCCTCCGATCCTCACTACGGTTTTTCTATTCCCTTTCTCTTTACTCCTCAGTTGCCTTTCTGCCCCGATTGGCGCCAAACCGTCGTGTGTACGTAGTGCATACCGGGGCTGGGCAATTAAAATACCACCGGTATTTTACCAAGGTTTTTACATGTAAATAAACAAATAATTTACAAAGTATGCGTGATTGAGAACAGCACAGTTGTTCTGACGCGAGAACAACCCCGTTGACAGGGCGGTCGAGCTCCCGTGTTATGTGCAAGTCTTGCAAGGGTCAAACATCGCAATGGTCATATCTCGCGAGGATCAACTACCGCAAGGATCAACCCTCGCAAGGGTTGAACGTTACAATGGCTAAACGACAGAGGTAGGCAGGACAATCTTAAAGGTCAAACGACAACAAGCGGCACCCGAGGAGTAGAAAGGACAATCACAAGGTTCCAACGATGATAAGAGTCAGCTGGGAGAGGCAGTCAGAACAGTCACAACGAACCAACGATTATGAGGGTCAAACAAAAGGAGTAAAAAGGAAAATCGTCAAGGGTCTAACGGAAGACCTGATCCTCGCGCGGTATAACCCTTGCAACGACTGAACCTTGCCACGTTGGTCCTTTGTGAGGTACGACCATTACTACGTTTGACCCTCACAGGGCAGGACCCGTGCAACCTTTGACCCTCGCGAGGTATGACCCTGTCGATATTTGATCCTCGCGCGGCATGATTTTTGAGAGGCATGACCTTCATGACATTTGACGCTTGCAAGGTATGGCCGTCGTGACGTTTGACCCTTGGTAGGTATAACCCTCGTGCAATTCAGTCCCGAGAGTTATTGCACTGACAGTCGGGTAAGAGGTTTTCTACTAGTAATATACCGTTTTCACAATTTGTAGCAAAATTATCAATATTCTACTATAAACCGTAGAAAACCCGGATGTTCAGTGAATGACCCAATCTTGGTGCACGCCAATGCAATCGAACGCGGTCAGAGAACAATTAGACGTTACCGGAATCATCGAAATCTTCAAACATTCAGCCTTCCATTATCACGAGACGACAATGAAGGGTGAAATATTAAGGTGCATAATACTTATGGATGAAACTTGACTGATTATTTCACACTTCGTCTCTCATGGAGATGGTATTCTTGCATTTTATAAATTATATTGTACTTAACCAAACAAAAATTATCGAATTATTAAATTATAATTATTAAAGCTTTGAACTGTGCAAGATTTTTTTTTCTTTTTACATCCTCATTTTTTCAGCGGGGAACAACCTTTCATGAGCTATCAATTTCTAATCACTCGAATTGATTATTAGGGATTCAGTCGATAATTTTGAAATATGACGAATAACAAAGTATTTTGAATTTTAGTAAACGTTGAAAAAAATTCTTCAATCAATTTATATTCCCTTCAGTAATGATGTATTAATTATATAGAAATGTATTACTATGGAAGAACCTGTGGTTTAGAGGGAAGATAGAAGAAACGCTGGAGTGAGTGGAGAACATCTAAGTATAGTGGAGAAGGGGAAGCCCAACGTCCGGCCCTCTTACAGCGTAGTTCAGGAATACTTTGGGGGATAGGTTAGGGATAAATGCTTGATATTACCTTCCTCTATCATAACTTCGATGAGGTTCTCCTCATCGAAGAAAAAAAAAATTCTGAGAGAATTAGAATTTAGAGAGAAAAAATTTTCGCTTCACCCAGCCGGGAATTGAACCCGGATCTCCCAGATACGTGCCGGGCACTCTTACCGACTAAGCTGCCGGGACCCACAGAAATTCACTCTCAAATTCATCTCATACACCGCCTAACCTCCTTTAGGCATTAAAGAATTCTAAGAGAATTAGAATTTAGAGAGAAAAAATTTTCGCTTCACCCAGCCGGGAATTGAACCCGGATCTCCCAGATACGTGCCGGGCACTCTTACCGACTAAGCTGCCGGGACCCACAGAAATTCACTCTCAAATTCATCTCATACACCGCCTAACCTCCTTTAGGCATTAAAGAATTCTAAGAGAATTAGAATTTAGAGAGAAAAAATTTTCGCTTCACCCAGCCGGGAATTGAACCCGGATCTCCCAGATACGTGCCGGGCACTCTTACCGACTAAGCTGCCGGGACCCACAGAAATTCACTCTCAAATTCATCTCATACACCGCCTAACCTCCTTTAGGCATTAAAGAATTCTAAGAGAATTAGAATTTAGAGAGAAAAAAAAAATTTCCGCTTCACCCAGCCGTGAATCGAACCCGGGTCTCGCAGATACGCGCCGGGCACTCTTACCGACTAAGCTACCTGGAACCACAGAAATTCACTCTCAAATTCACTTCATACACCGCCTAACCTCCTTTAGGCATTGAAGAATTCTAAAAGAATTAGAATTTAGAGAATGTGGCTAAACCTGAGACGTGATTTGAATCGAGGAGACACTTCAAAGTGCCCGGACCCCCGTGAATTTTAGAATCCATCTAAGTGATTAACAGGGGACTACTCAGAGAACTTTTGGGGTTGGACAATGAATTGTCCAGCTAGCATCAGTGTGACACAGTAGAGTTTACATCTATTCTTCACATTCTTCATATCTATTGTGATACTACATCTATTCTAAGGGACCTTTCTTCTCCCGAGTATTTCGACTTAGGAAAGTTTCAGGGTTATTTAGTCTAGTCAAATTAGATGCAAAAATTGTCTAACTGGAAAATTATTTCACTGGGGATGAAAAAATTTCAATTCGATAGATGAAAATGTCCGGAATAACATATTAAAATGATCAAAAATAGATCGGTGCATAAAATATTTTGAAAAATAAAAAACGAACGATTTTTTTTGGGGTTAATGACAAAAACATTCGTAGTTTCAAAACAAAACATTCGACCAAACTCAATGGATTGAAAAAAAAACCAAAATACCCAATTGTAGACGTGAAAATTCCACACAAAAATATGTGAAACGATGTTCTAGGATGAATTGTTTGTTCGTAAAAAATGTCGAAAATTTTTTTAACTCCAATTTAGTGATACTTCCAGCGTCTTTCCCGAAACTGCACCCCGTTCGGTGTGCGCCCGTCAATGGAAAGCGCGGTATGCGCAGATTCAAATCTACATTTACTCGATTATTCAATCAGTTGCGTGACGATTTTGCGATTTTCCGTCCTCAAATCCAATGAATTATTTTGAAAATTCAGAGAAGCACAGAAATGTAGGTGCATAATTTTTTTTTGTATAGAGACGCTTTACTACTAATGTCAATTTGTAATGAAATATTGAAGTAATGAAAGGGCATGAATAGGCCACCTTTATAATTATGATTCACATGATAAGACACGGTCAGTTTTTGGGATCGAGATAAGCGGCAGCGTATCGGCCAAGAAAAGTTTTGACTCCGATTGTACCAAACATCAGGCCGATCGCTGCCGTGTGTCTATACACGAAGCAACTACCCCCTCCACTACCTCCGAATCATATCCATTAAATAAAATACAAACGTGACGAGCTACATGAAAAATACTCTTAGTTACATTATATAAATTGGCCACAAGCTTCTCATTGATGTAACTATTTTTTTGTTCGAAGCAATATTTAAAAAAATACGCGCATAGCAACGGGTTCATATGCACATTCTCGCATTTCACATCAACTCCTATCATTTTTTTGTTACGGAGTTGGTAGAAGTGCAATACAACCACACGCACCAAGGAGGGAAGCCCGGGCATTTACAAATTGAATATGGTGCATGAATGATGAATTCCATAGATATTTTTCACTCGAGTTTCGTGCACAAATGAATTATCGAAGCAGCAAATTCAGTCGGAAAATCTTGAATAAATAATTAAAAGTCGGTGCAAATAACGACTGTGGAATAGAACTATTTGTTTTACTTCGATTGTCAATTGGAAAGATGATTTATCGTGTGAAAAAGAAATGAGCCGAATTGAATTGAAAATGAAAAAATTTGCAGGATATAAAAACGATTCCTTGTTTAATTTGAAAAAAATAATGAAATCTTCCTAAAAAAAGAAAAACACATGTTTTTGTAAAAAAACT